AGGACTGATGTGGACTAAATAGGCCCCTCCAGCCCTGACATTGTGCTGTGGTTTTAAGGAGCTGAGGTGGAGGACAGGCAAGAGAGAAATGAACCCAAAGAAACAGGTGTATGGTGCTGAGGTAGAAGACCAATGTTCACCTTTGGGGGGTGGAGTGTGTCTGGGGTAGGAGTACAATGTCTAGACCCCCTGCCATTATCAGAGAGGAAGGAAATGAATGTGGCTTAATTATAATGACAGGATGACAGCAATGACATTATGAGGAGAGAATCAGAAAAGTGCAAAGCCCATATTAGGAAAAATGGGAACTGTCTGCTTACCATCAAATTCTCCCTGGAGAGCTCGCAGACAGGGTCGCATCCCTAGCCTGAGATGTCCCAGATAAAGAGACTCTTCCCTCTGGCCATCTTTCTTTGTGGGATCCTTCAGAGGCCTGGGCAAGGGTTGGCCCACAGTGGTGGCTCTACCTCCAGGCCTCCGTCACTGGCTGCTGGGCAATGGGACCTGTCCCTGTCCTTCCCACTGGCCCACCCCCGTCAGACTGCAGACTCTCTGAGTGCCGTCCACAGCACACAGATCCTTAGTACACAGCTCCCAGTCTACTGGGGAGGCACTCAGCATATGCCTGTTGAATGGGGACGTTCTCTCCCAGGTGTCACACAGAGGGCTATGTTGGCCTTCTGCTCCTCTCAGCATCACCAACACACAAGAGATGTGCAAAAAGACGTAAGGAGCTCACTCACCACACCTCAGGGTGAGCCTTTAAAAGAGACCAAAGACCCATATGAGGCAGGCAGGGAGATCAGGGAGGGGGCTGGTCTGCCCCTGGCCTGGGCCAAGATGTCAGAATGGAAGTGAGACACCATGAGAGAGAGATGAATCCAAAGAAACAGGTGTGTCGTGCTGAGGTACCATAGATCACCTACATCCACAGCCTCATCACAAAAAAACTCAGTTTATTTCTATTTTTATTTAGATTAACATACAGTGTAGTACTGGTTTCAGGAATAGAACCTAGTGATTTATCGCTTACTGGGATGACCCAGTGCTCATCCCAACAAGTACCCTCCATAAATCTCATTGCCCATCTAGCCCATCCCCCACCCACCTCCCATCCAGCAACCCTCAGTTTGTTCTCTATAGTTAAGTGTTGTTTAGGGTTGCCTCCCTCTCTGTTTTTATTTTATTTTATTTTTCCTTCCCTTTCCCTATGCTCATCTGTCTTTTTTTTTAATACAATTTATTATCAAGTTGGCTAACATGCAGTGTGTACAGTGTGCTCTTGGTTTTGGGGGGTAGATTCCCGTGATCCATCGCTTACATACAACACCCAGTACTCATCCCAACAAGTGCCCTCCTCAATGCCCATCACCCAGTTTCCCCTATCAACCCTCAGTTTCTTCTCTGTATTTAAGAGTCTCTTAAATTCCACATATATTTGTCTTTCTCTGATTGACTTAGTTCTTTAGCATATTACTCAGCGATCAAAAAAAAAAATCTTCCCATTTGCAACAACGTGGATAGAGCTAGACTACATTATGCAAAAACTCATTTTAGCCAATAGTTTTCACCTTATCCTACTGCAACTTTTTATCAGAACTGAGAAAGGTGGGCAAGCTTGAAAACAGTTTTCCTGCTTGCTGACAGTCTCTGGGGAACTGGCCAACTTATCATGAGATATTCAGTGCCAGAGAGCAGAGATGAAACACTGCAAAAGGCTTCTGAATAATCTATATTATAGCTAACACAATGCCATAGAATAGCCAAGAAGTATTATTACTAGCACACGTAAAATTCAACACAAAGAGGAAGAATTCACAGAGTAACCATTACTCCAAAAGCACAATGGCTTTTGTGTCTCTCTCTACTCCTTAAAGACTGCTGGACGTGAGTGTCAGGGTGACTGGAAGGGGAGATCAGTGTGACCCCTTGGCACAAATGCAGGCTGTGGGCAACGTTCCCCACCACCAGTGATCCCAGCTCTGGCATCGGTCCAATCCCGTGAGCCAGCAGGAAGTGCGTAAGTGTGCACATGTGCTCACACAGGCGAAGCAAGGTAAAAGAGGACCCATAAATCCAGTAAGACATCAGCACTTGTCTCGAACAAAGGCTGTTCAGAATGTGGGTTTACAAGGATAATTACCACCACATTACACAGAGTGCAATAACTTTGTTGTTCGCACCACAATTTGTCAGACGTGTCACATGGAAAGTAGAACAGCTGTAACTGTAAGTGACAGGTTGATGAAAAATGACTGATTTCCAAAGTACCTGGTCCCATGAGTCTGTATCATAATCTTGTTCTTAAATTAAAACAACACTAACAAGCATACAAAAACTTTCCACTGCAGAAACTGTTGACCCGTTAAAATTTATGGAGAGAATTTTCAAGGCATTGCTGTGCAGGTCTGTGTTCTCAGCCCACACGAACGCAGGTGGCCTCCATGGGAAGAACCTGGCATTTAATTCAGAGGGACCTGGATCCAAATCCTGTCTGACCTGCTTACCAGCCCCATATTTTGGGGGGAAAAGTTACCTTTTTTTTAATGTTTATTTATTTTTGAGAGAAAGACAGAGGCAGAGACAGAGCATGAGCAGAAAAGGGGCAGAGAGAGAGACACACACACACACAGAATCCGAAGCAGACTGTAGGCTCTGAGCTGTCAGCACAGAGCCCAAAGTGGGGCTGGAACCCACCAACCATGAGATCATGACCTGAGCCAAAGTCGGACACTTACCCAACACAGCCACCCAGGTGCCCCAAGCCGTTACCTTTTCTGAATTCATTCCTTACAAGATGGAGATAATAATCTTTAAAGTACAGAGTTGTTATGAGCAGGAGAAATCATGGATGGAGCACTTATCACAGCACCTGGCAAATAACAAGTGTTCTGGAAATAGGATTACAGTTAAGTGGACTTGCCTACTTAAACATCACCCTTGGTTGCATTATGCAGAGGTGACTACCTATCTATTGTTACACTTTTTATAAAAAGAAATGGAAAGATTATAAAAGGGAAAGAAAAGAGATGATAATAATTGAGGTTTCCCTTGGAGACTATACCCAGGAAATTATGCTTTCCCTGGAAGAAGAATTTTGGAAAAACCAACTGCTTATCTTTACTATTTGCCACCTGAACCATTTTCTTTCAGGTAAAAAGTTAGTGAAGTCTCCTCATATCTGAAAGCCTTTGGCAAGGCCATGACATGGGGTCCATTTTCTGACTGACCACTCTTAACAAATTTTCTGTAATGGATATAATGAGGTATTTCAATTGACAAAATGTCTCATCTCCCCCTCTTAGAGACAGAAATTAGGCCCAGAGCATGGCTGGCACATCTGGTTGCTTACCTGGTACCCCCAAGCTCCCCAGAACGCTACAAGAACTACCTAGAAAACTTGTACCATTAAGGCTGAAATAATCTTGGAAGAGCTGAGGTCTTAAATCCTTTTACACGACATGAGAAAGCACCTCAAGTTCTAATTAAGCTAAAGCAATTAGCCACCCACAGATACTTAATGCTGTTTCCCATGGTCAGGCAATCATCTCTATTAAGACCCATTTTAAAGTAAGACACAAACCCAAAAGCTCCATCAGCACACACTTCCCACAAATCAATTACCCCTAGACACATTCAGTAAATACTCAGAGGCCAGCTCTGTGCCTTGCAGAGAGAGCCTGTATGAAAGAACTGCATCAGACATGATGAGGTAGTTGCAGAAAAAGAGGGGACAAGCAGCACCTGTGACTGTTTGGGGTAACAAAACCCAACTGCTGCATCCCTGGTGGGTTGGACAAAACAAGACAAACTGACCAGGTTTCCTGGTTGGTGCAGCAATTAGTACGTCAACTCCACTCAGAAAGAGTACGTCAAGCAAAACAGCCTCTGCCTGTTAGAACCAGAGCCCAGCTTCACTGTGTGTGACCAGACTCTGATTCACACTGATGCTTCATGGAAGGACTGTCCTCTCCCATGTCCCCATTTGTCACTGAAGTGCCAACAGGGTGCACTCAAAGAGGTTGTAATGAATCCATGCTATTTGAATTCATAATGCTTTCCCCAGCCTAGTTAGGTCTACTTCTCCCTAAGCCTCCCTTCAGTGAAGGGAGTTCATTGTTTCCAGCCCAAGGGTATTCCCAGACCAGGCACTGGCTGCAGCTATGCGATGGACAATAGATAAGTGACAGAGATTTAAACACCTTCCTCAAGAACTGGAGTTGTTTTTATTTATCAGTATGGTCAAGTTAGTCCAATAACTCATCACTGCTTAACTGAACAGGAGCCTTTCTATCCTGTGGGGGTTTTACGGGGTTTTATTTTGTTTCTTGGATCTGGGAAATTTCTTAACCATCAAGCAGATATTAAAAATGTATGAAAAATAGAAAATACATTAAAAACATTCCTAGGAGTATTAAATTAAATTTTCATTAAAAAATAAAAATGAAATTAATTATAATGGGATATTTTATTTAACCCACTACGTAAAAATATTATCATTTCAACATATGATCAATATAAAAGATAATTCATTAGATAGCTCACATTCCTTTTTTCCATACATTCTTTTCCTGGTACCATAAGGGACTGTACAGATCTAGAGCTATATTTAAACAGACGTGGAAAGATTTTTCACAATTCACTGTTCTATGAGAAGAAAGGTTACCAAGTATATGTAATTATTTCATTCTAACTTTATAAAGTAACAGTAGTTATCTCTGAGAGGTAGAATTATCATTGGTCTCGATTTTGTACATTGTGCTTTTTCATATTTTCTAAATATCTTTGCAGCAAATAGGTAATATTTTAATTATCAGGAAAGCTATAAAACTCATCTCAAAAAAAAAAAAAAAAGAACAGAGCCTGGCTTATTCTAAGTTATTACACCATGATCCTGCTAGCATTGTAGCCATCACCCCATTTGGAGACAACAGAAGCGATGGCGAAACAGTATGCCCCCTGCCCATCCCCCACCCATCCCCACCAACTGTCATACTTACAGCCAATCATCATGATGGCCACTGCAAAGATTTTCTCGATGTCTGTGGATGGGGCAATGTTTCCAAAGCCCACACTGGTAAGGCTTGTCATAGTGAAATACAATGAGGAGATGTAGACGGAATTCTTGCTGGGACCACCTTCCCACTTTCCTGAGCCGGACCCATTAAACTGGTAAGGGGTGCCAATGTCCATCGCCAGTTGGTAGAGCCAGCTATTGTTGCGGATGGTCTTGGTGTCTTCATCAAAGATCTCGTAGTCCCCGATGCTGTACCAGATGCAGGCCATCCAGTGAGCAGCCAGCCCAAACACACACACCAGCAGCACCAGCACAGCAGCTCCATATTCAATGTAGTGGTCCAGCTTACGGGCCACTCGCCCCAGACGTAGCAGCCGGACGACCTTCAGTGAGCTGAACAGGCTGCTGATACCCTGGGAGAAGAGGAGCGGAGCGTGAGGGCCAAGAACCAAAGATACCACTACTCCTTCCCTCCTCCCCTCCTGGGCCATTACCTACAGCACAGTGTATTTTCACAAGATGCAATACTGTGCAACCCTTTAAAAAATGTTTTAACATAAGTCATGATATGGAGAAATGCTCATATGTATTTGTATAGTTATACACAATACAATTCAAATTTTATTCCAAGGTATATGAAAGGGAGATTTCCATTTGCTTTTTCCTACTTCCATTAAAAAGCAGATTAAAAAAACAAAACAAGCGAGACAAATGAAGTTAGAATTTTATTCTAATTATATTGTCATAAGTATATGAATATATATGAGCATATTTCATATCATTACTATTTCAAAACAATTTTAAGGGTTATGTAATATTTCATACTAATATGAAATATTTTAAGAGTTTTATAATATTTATTTCATATTGTATAATATTTCATTCTAATTATACTGTACTTAAGTATACACGTATTTATGTGTTGAGAAAATGGCTAGGAAACAGAGAGAAATGTAAGATATTAATAGTGGTTACCACTTCATTGTTGAGTTATGGAATTATAGGAAATTTTTTGTTGTATTTGTATATATTTTTGTTATACTTGAATATATTTACTTAATTTCTAAAATTGAAATTATTACTTTCTCAGAAAAAATATGTATTTAAAAAGCAAACAGATTTTTTAAAAAGATAAAAAGTATTAAAGAAACAATTGAGAAGAATAAAGAACTAAGATTCTGTTTTCTCAGGAGAATTACAAATTCTTGGAAACTACCTCACTCCCATCAGGCCAGGGATTATACAATCAGACACCATGTACTTAAACACAATCAAGGAGTCTCCAAGCTACAGGGAAGCTTCCAATTTCACCTGATCAAGTCTCCTGTCATCCTGTGGACCCTTCCAGTGCATGTCTAGTCTCCAAACAGTGGTTCTCCAAGGGAATACCAGTGGTGGAAAGAACACCAGAGTAGAAATCTAGAGAAAACAAGTCTGAGACCCAAGTAAATCACTAACTTGCTATGTGAATTTGGACAAGTGAATTGCCTCTCTCATCCAGACAAAGGGAAGTGGACTAGAGGAAATGTAACATTACAGAAGGCACTGCATTCAAAATCCCCAAATTCCTATAGCTTTTCCTACTTCCATGAAAAAGGAAATAAACAACAAAATAGAGACATTGCTTTGCACCACAACTGCAGTCTCCCTCACAGAGCAAAAATCCACCAGCAGGATGATGCCCTTCACACAGTAGAATGAATGACCTTTCACTATTCTAAACACTGGACAGTTTCCAGGTCACTGCTAGTCTCTCTTGCTCCCTGTTCCCTTAATAACAACCCCCAAGGGTCAGGTTATGTCACATACAGAAGGAAAATGTGTAAATGCTTTCTGATGACCTGTTGTCAGACTCACCAAGGTTGCTACCTCTTCCTGGACACCCAGCTGAACTACATCTCCCAGCCTCTTCCCATGTAGGTGGGTCTTTGAGACTGGTTCTCATTAATGGATGTGAGGTAGAATGTGTATCATTTCCAGGCCAAGGCAGTTAAAAGGAAGTATACTTTCTCTTCCTTTTGACATACCTTCCAGTTGAGGCTAGTGTGACCCTGAGGCCAAGTAGTAAAGATGGTGGACATATAGCATGAAAGAAGCCTGGGTCCCTGAAAGACTTTGTGGAACACCCTCTCCCTCCCAATCAATTTGAATCATATTATGATGTGAATGAAAATGAAATCTCTGATACAAGCCACTGAAACTCTGAGGGATATATGGTATAGTAGATATTATTAGTCTTCCATGATACATGAACATACAAATCACATGTAGCATAGCCTTGTCCATATGGACCACAAATCAGGCTGCCACACAAATTATTTTTGTTGAGCTGCGAGTGGAGAAGATGTGATTTATTGTACCTTTTTTTTTGTTTGCCTTTTTTATTCTCATTTTTTTCCAATTTTTATTTAAATTCTAGTTAGTATTGCACCTTTTAAAAATAAAACAAGTAAACAACAGCTTTGTAGCCATACAACTTACAGGAGAAATAATCACTTCCTGTCCAACATATACCAGCAAATAAGTAATAATGGATTTCTTCTAAGCCAGGAGACTACATCCCCAGGGTCAGCTCATCCAAATTGCTAACTCTGACAAAGTTTACTTTGGGCATATCCAGTACTCATCCCCTGGATCCCCTTTCTTGCCACGCAGAAAAGGCTAAGAAAACCCCCAATATTAAGGTGCAAAAGATTGATGAGAGTAAATGATATCCTCTCTCCAGAGGGCATCTGCATTTTAACAGAGGGAAATTAACCTCCAATAGTAGAATTAAAAGTACCCACAGCCCGAATGAAGGAGATATTCTGGGAGGCAAAGGAGCCTTTTTGATGACTCAGAAACCAAACACATGTAAGCAGCCACCTACTCTCCACCTGTTCATAAGGAGGTTACTGAGATCATCTTTCAAAGCAGTTCAACTCTGAAGCAGAACTTATTACCCAGGGCAAAACTGCCTTGTCACTTTTTCTCACTCAGATTCAATTCAAAGCAACATTTAAGGAGAACCTACTGGGTACTCCTTGTGCTAAAGCTACAGGGAAGAGATTAAAATGATGCTGTCTTTGTCTTCTTGTCCACCATTATGGCTCCAGTGTCTGGCATGGAGAAGAGGCTTGATGGGGAGAAAGAGGAGAGGAAGCAAGAGCATAATAACTAGTGAGAGAGGCAAGGTACGATACTTCTATGTCATAGTCACAGAACGTGATTGCTGAGAGGGAGCACAGATGTTGTCCAGTCCAGACTTCTAAATTCAGGGATGTCTTCTAGAGCTCCCTAAGGAACGGTCATTCAGCTTCTCCTTGAACTCCCCCTTTAACCACTACACGTCTCTAAGATCCCACTCTGGCAGTCATGCATGGACATGAATGACTGTGTTCCCATGACCATTCATATCTCCCTCTGCTCCCTCCTCCCTTCTCTATCCCCTCCCAATGGCCACACAACACATGCAGCCACACTACCCAAAGGCCTGCTCACCTATAGCCCTACTCCTGATGTCTTGAGTTTCTTGCACTGTGGATGCACACTTGCATCTCTGTGCCTGTTTGGACTAGTTCCTCAGCCCAGAATGCCCAGCCCCTACCTTTCTACCAGCTGGCATACTAGTTATCCTTCAGGCTTGCCACTGTCTATACCCTAAAACACTTCCACATCTACCCTGGACTCACAATCAATCGCTCACCCCTCTGTGTGTCCATGGTATTCTGTATCCATTACCCACTGAACACATTGCCTTGTCAGTATAGTTTCCCCAACTACAGCAGGTGCTACATTTTCCTGAAGATAGAAGCCATTTGCTCTTCATTTTAGAAGCTTCCTGTATTGGGCTGAATAGTGTCCCCTCCAAATTCATGTCTTTCCCAGGTCCTCAGAATGTGACCCTATTTGGGGATGGGGTTGTTGTAGGTGGTGGTTAAGATGAGGTCATATTTAATACAGTATAACTAATGTTCTTATAAAAAGAGAAGAGCCACATACAGAGAAAACCAGGTGTTTTCTACACATGCAGAGGTTGTAGTGACGTGTCTTTAAGTCAGAGAATGCCAAAGATTATCGGCAAAACCAGAAGCTAAGAGAAAGGCATGGAACAGATTCTCTCCTAGAGCCTTCAGAGAGAACATGGCCCTACTGACACTATGACTTCAGATTTCTAGTTCCCAAACTGTGGAAGAATAATTTCTATTGTATTAAACCATTCAGTTTGTGGTAATTCGTCATAGCTGCCCTGGAAAACTAATATACTTACACAGGATCTAAAGCCAGCGGCTTCTCAGAAAGGGTCTGAAACATTTTCTAAACTGAATTGAAGAGTTTGGATTATTAGGGAATTCTTTCTGATTTTAAGAGGCCCCCAGAACAATATAAAATAATCACTTCCTCACTGTGTTATTTATATGTGTATACTGATACTCTATTACATGGTTTTGTATAAGCTCTCCTATTACATGAATTCTACCTATTTAAAATCATTTCAAACTATTAATTTGTGCTTTTTTTCTTATTTGCCTCAAGTTCAGGAGATGAAATAAATAAACAGAATACTTTAAACTTTTTTTTTTTAATTTTAGTATGCTAAAAACATGACAGCACCATTTGGTAGAGAATCACATTTCCCCTGGAATTTCTTGTATCAGAAAGCCTATCTCACATTCCAAATTGTACCAGAAAGCTCTTTATCACAACCTTAAAGTTATGAAGAACCAACACTTTCAAGTTGAACCAACATGGATGAAGGGAAGATGAGAACCCGTGCCATCCTCATCACCAAAGGCCTCATCACCAAAGGCCAACAACTATGACTGCAAGGAAGACTTCTGAAACCTCAAAAACCTCAGCTGTAGTGATACTGATGCAATTCAGATTGAAATGGGCATTTGACAATTATCTTATTCAGACACAGACTAAACAAATCATTTTGTTCACCCGGGCTATGTATATTTTACTTTCTCAATTAGTCAGATTACCAACTTTTGGTTTATATTTTTGTCTGCCATATGCATGGAGATAACACTGTCACAGACTAATGACAATGTGCTATTGAAAAGAACTACCCAGTCTTTCAGGTCCTTGAATAATTTCCCCAGGGTGGGGGGCTTAGGGGAGGGATGACATGATGGCATCCATAACAGGTTCTGCAGGCAAACTTGATGTTTATTGCATTCAACCTCACATGATTACTCTTCTCCTGAAATCTCCTACAGCTAAAGGCCTTCTTCACATGCTTCCCTGTGAGTCTTCTGGAAACCATTCCCAGTCTCAGGACACCTGGGTGACTCAGTCAGTTAAGTGTCTGACTCCTGACTTTGGCTCAGGTAATGATCTCACCTTTGGGGAGATCCAGCCCCACATCAGGCTCAGGGCTGAAAGCATGGAGCCTGTTTGAGATTCTCTCTCTCCCTCTCTCTGCCCC